GTATGAAATTCACATTCTGGGACATATTAAAATTGTTTCTGGATACCATTTGTTTATAAGAAAACGTTTTTAAGCTCGAAACGTTTGGTGACAGAAAACGTTTGGTGACAGGAAACGTTTGGTGGCAGGAAACGATCTGTAAGGAAACATTCAGTAAGGAAACATTTTGTAGGTGCTCAGTTTAATTGCTTAAGATTTGGTGTAGATTTGTACTAACAATTTTCTCGGATTTTGGTTTAGGATGTTTCATTTATATTTCTCAATAGATTTTTGTAAAATTTTTAACCAAAATAAATAGCAATAATATTTTCTAATTAATTTCCGACGAAAAAAAAAATAACTTTTTCATATTAAAATGCTTTTGTACAAAATTTATTTTTGCATTTTGAAAATTACATTTGATATTTTTTAACCCAAAACATATGTACCCTGCAAGTGTTTGCAAGACAACGCTAATCCCAAATAGATTGTTAAGTACAATAGATGGCAACGTAGAATTTGTACACTCTCAGTACAGTTGTATTCTGTCGTCACAAGTGTCAATTCAGTTTTTGTGTCGACAAAATTATCAATAATAGTGATATTTTTAAAATAAAGTGCTTTTCTTACGGTAAAATAAGTTCAATTTTATGTGTTCTTTAGTCTCTGTTTTTACACTTTTTTATTAATCTTGGAAAAAATGTCAACTAATATGAGACAATTTTGTTTTCCTTGTTATATTTGACACTTGTGGACGTTGTGTACAATGGTTCATTTCTGTGTTGCCACCTATTGTACTTGATAATCTATTTGGCTAATCCCTTTTTTTCACTCAACCTGTTTGCATAGACATCTTGTGCATTAAGAAATAATTCAAGTCTTTTGCGCATTCTATAGGAGTCATAATAAATCTTAGGTTAACTTATTCAAGCTCTGTAAATCGTCGTTTATGTACGCAGCACATGTTATATATCTAAAATGGTCATATTTAAGGTCACTTTGTGAATATAATGATAAGTTTTTATAATTATTATAATTATAATCGGTATAATATTTTGTTCAGCAGTTCATAATTTTGCCAATAGGTTAAGGTATTGATCAGTCAGGGCAGCGTTGTGATTCAAGCCTTCCCCTCACTAAATTGAAAGATGACTTAAAGCATGGTACATCGGAAAGATAAAGTGACTTCACTGAAGCATTTTTCTTTTGTTTTATTGTTTGTTAAAAATTGGTTTTCTTTTATAAATGATGATTAGCCCTGTTTTAATTAATAAAACCAAGATATTGTTTTGGTTCTCAATATCTCAGGCAGATTTCAAGATAAAAAAAAGAAGGCCAACCACTTTTTAGATCTGTAATATATAAATATATATATAACTGATAAAAATTCAACCACTTATCAATTATTATTTTGAATTATATTTATATAAGAACATTTGCAATGGAGAACAAAGACTATTTTTTTCAAANCCCCCCCCCCCAACTTACAATAATAAACTACTTTTTCCATTGTTTTCTTGCAATGATAGCAGGTTAGCTATAGTTAAAAAATAATAACTTCAATGGTCAAGGTGCATGCATGATGCAAGTTGCAAACTATGCTAGTTTATAATTATTGATGTTTTAAAAGATTTTACGAGATTTTATTACTTCAGTTCTTATAATCCAAACACGAAGTTTTCACGAGATTTTATTACTTCAGTTCTTATAATCCAAACACGAAGTTTTTATGAGATTTTATTACTTCAGTTCTTATAATCCAAACACGCTAAACTGAAAACAATATTATCTCAGTTATTACAGTCTTGCATTTTGCGTTATTTCTGCTTTAGATAATAACCAAAGTTAGAAATTCTCATCGGTTTGTTCCTCCTTTTTGTGTATAAAATGAAAACTAAAATACTGAAACTATAAAAAAGGTTGCAAAGTCTTCATAGCAATTCCGGAAAAAATAAACTTCCCGTATTTTAGATTAAAGTGCGCGGTCTATTTACATAAGTGCATCCAAGTTTATTTTGTACTTTTAAATACGTTAAATGTAAGCAAATAAAACTCTCTAGATAAGCTAATTAGTTTTATACAGAGATGTAAAATTGTTTACTTCTTCTACTACTAGGGAGGGGGAGAAAGAGGGGGGGGGGATATTTTTTTAAAAATACTTTATTAAACAAAAGGAAACTTATACATTTAAAATTATAATTATAAAGTGGCTTGTTCACCCTCTATATTTTTAGATAAGATAACACACGTGATTTTAAATATTCCATGAAAGAAGAACTAGAGATAAACTTTTAGGAAATCAGCAAAAATTATGGATTTATTAATTTACAAAGTGGCTTGGTCGCCCTTTTATTTTAGCTAAGATAGCGAACTTGATGGTTAGATATCCAATAAAAGAAAAACAAGAGAAAAAAACTTAAAAAATCAGCAAGAATTATGATAAATGCATAAATGCATAGAGGGGGGATATTTTAACCCTTCGTTTTCACTGAACGAAGATTAGTTGAAAAATCAAAAAGGAAATGAAAAGCTATAATTTTTTATTCGGTTTTAAAAGACCCAACCCTACAAGTAACTCGCAAATTCAGACAGCAATTATACACCTAGTTTTATTTCTTTGCATTTCTGAAAATCCGCGGCACCTAATAACATTTAGGGTTACCCAGAAAAGATAAAACTTTTAAGACACTTACATTTAATCATGTTTAATAGGACTGTAGTGTAATCTTCATTTCAAGTGACTCTCGATGAAGAGATGGCAATGTCCGATTTACAATGGAATACTGCTGTAGACTTGAAAAGGGTCTGAAAGTAAAAAAACCAAGATTGAGTAGAATAATGAAACATGTTTACACACAATACTATATTTACAGGTTAATTATACAAACTGGTGAACACTTAATCAATTAACTCGTCTTCAACACGACATTCGCCCAAAGCAGCGAATGTATATTCCATGGAACTTCTCCTATTCGTTGCTTCGTGCATACTGGGGATCGTGAATCCAATATGGCAGATCCTGGTCCTTTTATTTCCTAGCCGTAGAATCGAGTTATATATATTGTTATACAGTAGTGAACCCTTTGGTTGGGTTCAAAATACTCTTGAAAAATGTATCTGATCAAAAATGTGGAAGAAAATGTGTTTTTTTTGTGACTCGAGACGGTTTAAAGTCTGATTAATTTTGTAACAATTAAATAATTAGGGAAAAAAACTATAAATTGCTATTGTGAACCATATATTTGATGAAAGGAATGAAGAAATTCCGTACAGTCGTCTCTGAAGTCTCTTCCTTTTTGGTTAACTCTGTAGGTTGTTTATCCCTTAACCTGAGATATGACAGCGAGAAAGAAACGTTTTCCCATGATTCCTCTGTGTTGCTGAAAACACCATGATTAGTGTATTTGCATGGGAATTCATTGTAGAATTATAGTATTGTATATTCTTTGAATAATTGTTTTGTTATTCACAAGTAAAGATGAATAGCAGAGACTGATTTTGACATTCTTGAACTTTCAATATTTTAAAGAAAATAAGTTGAATTTTTCTGATAATTCTTTAATCTAAATAAGTCGACTATAGTATTCACATCCTAAACTGATAAAATATCTTAACATATTATTCGTAAAAGCAGACTCACAGAAATCATTTTTAAATAAGAACAGAACGACATTTTGTAAGATATCTCTAAATTAATCTAATCTCTATTTTGATAATTTCGGACCAAAAAATTCGCAATTTCGAAAATATTTTCAAAGAGTGTAAGAAATCACTTTGCACTTTAATATTTAAAATATATCCTAATAAAAAAGAATAAATTAGAAAAACTAAAGGTGATAAAAGACCAGTGGCGTACACAAATATTTTTCCGGGGAGGGCGTAATTTTTTTTAGTTTTTTTCATGTGGGGTTGGGGAACTAGCACTCGTTGGGGTCTGAAAATCCGCTGAAAACAATAAATTTTACTGATCACCAACCCCCGTCGATTGTGTAGGCCTCTAAGTAGAAGGTTTTCAAACGGTTGGAATAAAAGTTTAATTTTGTACTTGTAAAAAGGTACGTCATACAGTTTTCATATATTTTAACATGTAATAAAATTGTGTTTATTACATGTTTACACTTCAAGATAATCTTATCTAAACTGTTATCCCTACAGGACTGGGTGGTCTTTATTCATGAAAAACACCAAGGGGGGGACGCCATGCCTCCTCCACTTATAAAAATGTTTGAAAAGCAGCATTGGATGCGATTGCAGAAGGAGAAAAATAGGTTTAAAGAAAATTTAAACCTCTCTAAAGAAACCAATTTCTAACAAAAATCTCTATTTTTCAAACCTTTATGTCTTTGCAAAACAATGTTGTAGACCGTTGATGTCTTAAAACATAAATTCTATTAAATCAAATAATTAAAGTTATTTTGACATTTCTTTTTACATAATATTGTCATAGTCTTTAAATATAGGATGTCCATGAGATCTTAAGAGACTGAAATTGCAAAACTAGAGCACCCTCTCCCCCCCTCTGATTTTTAGGGGTAATTCATAAGTTTTTTTCATGTACATTTTTTGGCTCCATACACCCCCCCCCCAATATTACCCTTTTCTCGGTATTGAACATGTTTCTGAATAAATTCTGTGTTTAGTGAAATATTTTAGAAATCTTTTTTTTAGTTTGTTTTATATTTTAAAGCTTTCTTTGGTTTTATTAAACATTTCTCGTTTTTTCTTAAATTCCTTTGATAAAAAGGGTGTGTTTTTAGCCTGCTAAAAGTCGTTTTTTTTTGTACTAAAAAGTGTTTCTAGTGAGAAAATGTGTTTCAAAGGGTTAATTAACATTTTATTATAAAATTTGTCGTTTGTCGATGGGCAGTGTACTTCCTGAGAACACTTTTAGTACAATTAAACGACGTTTCATGGGCTAATAAGCTGAAACACACTGTTTTAGAGACACTCTGTTGATACTTAACATAACTTATTAAATGTTCTCTAATCAATCAATTTGTTTTACTAAAATAAGTCGCAAATTCAAAAGACTAGCATCTTTATTCAGGTAATTTTCAGAATTGGTTTTTTTCGTACAAAACTCGCAACAGTTTGTGTAAAATAAATATTTTTCACGTAAACAGACTATTTGGTTCTTTAAGCAGAGGCGTGGGCAGCAAGGTGTTCAGCACGGGCAGCCTGGACGTCAGCGGGCTCAACGGGGACTACAGCGCCATTGGGGTGGGCAACCAGTCCAGAGTATCCGTAAGGGTATCCGGCAGCGTAGGCGGCATAAGGATATCCAGCAGCAGCATAGGGGTATGCAGCAGCGGCATAGGGGTATCCGTGAGCGGCAAAGTGCTCGGCCTTGGCAGCGGCGACAGCAGGCTCATCAACGGGGACAACGGCACCGTTGGGGTGGGCAACAAGTCCTCCGTAGGCATATCCAGTGGGGTATCCGGCGTAGGCATAGGCGGCAGTGGGGTAAACTCCATTGGCATAGGTCAGAGCTCCGTTGGGGTGAGCTGCATAGACTACCCCAGTGTGGGTGGCAAGGTGAGCGGCACGGGCAGCGGCAACTGCGGGCTCATCAGCGGGGACAACGGCTCCGTTGGGGTAGGTGACAAGCTGACCAGCAGAGACTGCAACGCAGGCGGCAAGAACCTAGAAGCAAAGAATGTTTAAAATGTATAACAGAATTTTTATTTATTTTAATTTTAAATATTTTGCAAAACTGGTAAAAAAATGTTAAATTTTAATTTAAAGATGTTTAAACTTATGTTTCATCATTAATCTGTCCCATTCCACCCACCTAAACAATGACCCTGACATTTTATCTTACAAGCCATTTAATTTGTTTAGACATTTTTAGCCAACACCCAGGCGTGAAATTGCTGTAAATATAGGCTTTAGAGGTTTTTTTTCATTACTCTCCTCTCATTCTTTAATTCTCTCAACCTTGTGTCTTATTAATCTGATGTTTTTCAAATTATGAACTTTCATAATTTAATATATATAAAGTTTAAAATATTACCAGGTTGCAAAATAAATTGATTAGTGTCTGAAGCAATTGTTCAGTTTCTTTAAAATTAAAAGGTTTTGTACAGATTAATGCTTACCAAAAACTTCATGTTTGTTTGAATGTTGCGCTAGAGTACGAAAACTAACTGTCCACCTATTCCAAACCTCGTCTTTTTATACGAACCACGCATCCGGCGGTGACGCAGTGCGCGTCGGTAGAACCTACGCAGGGTGATATCTACGCGTGGAGAAAAGGTATCGTAGGGACCTGTGTGTTGAGAAAGCCTGGAGGCGTTTACAGGCCGCCCTTAGTACCAGATTCATTGATAATATAGATCTATAGAAAGGTCAACTGTACTGAAAATTTGTAAGAAAGGGGGGGGGGGGGTGTTAAAACAGGTTCTTTGTTTTCTCAAAATCATATTTCTAAGTCTGAGTTTACAGACTAACAGGAATTTTCTTTTTGGACACTTTAATATTTCTTTAATTTTTTGAAATGTTTAAAATGATTAATATAAAACAATATTGTAAGTAATTAATCATGTAACTATAAAACATCGCTGATTTCTTCAGAATCTAATATTTAATGTTAATGAAAAGAGAATATATCGACCTGACATCAAGTGACCCCCGGATTAAAGCATTTCATGACCAATTCACGAATACCTAGTAGAGGTCCTAGCTTTCTCAATTAATCATTTAGGGAGATAAAGTCGTTTTATTACTGAATATTTGTGATTTCTCTCCGTTTCCATCACTGTCTTTGCTGCAAAAATCCACAGGTTAAATCATAGAGAACCGCAACTGAAAATAATTTTGTTTTCAGATGGCAACTGGGCACGTTCTGACTTTTTTCAAAATTTTCGGTTCGGTTAATTAAAACCGTTCAATTTTTATTTATTAAACGTTCTTTTTTTAGCTAAATATATGTCTTTAAAAGCTACTGTTTGATAACGACGCTAACGGCAGATATTTTATAAATCGTTTACGGGGCCAGTCGTTATTGATTATTTTATGCAACAACTGGTGGCAAAATTTTAAAGAAACAGAAAAATAAAAGAAATTAACCGCAAATTCAAAACACATTTGTTTCGTTTCTTTCAACCCTTATTTTTATCAAAAACGGCTATTACCGTTAGATAACTGTTTTTAAATTAACGTTTTTGCCGTTTGTTACCGGCCGGGCCCTCCTTAAATTTTCAATTAACCCTCCGTTTCGTTAACGGAACTTTGTCCAGTTATAAAAAACGAAGAATTTAATCAGACTAAAAGTTAAAAAGTTTTAAAATAAAGATTACTTTAATACATGATATCTATGTTTAGTGGAATAAACCTGTATTAAACTCATTCTAGCACTTTAATGTATAATCAGATTTGTATTTAAATTTCGCAAATCATATAAAAACCATTAACGAAAATACTGCATCATAACTGTAGATCAACATCGCAAACTAAAGTTCAAAAATGAACCAAATTAGATAATTAAATATTTTCATTTTCCTTCTGCTTTTGAAAATGTGATTATAAAAACATCAAATCCAATATTTCAATGAAAAAAAATGTTTTGAAAGAGGGGTTAGGAGGCCATACGCAAAATATAGGGGTTCATTTAGTGGGCTCTATTGAAAACGGAAAAATGCAATTGCATGCAACTTTTATTTATTTTTTTATTTTTTTATCCTGGTTTTTGAAGCTTAATCTTGTTCAGAAGAAAAGGAGGAGGCTGGGGTAGTAAAAAGGGGGATTAGGAATGTATTTGGGGGAGAAGTGGGGAGGGGGGATAAGGAAGTGGGATTAAGGAGTGAATGGAGTTATTAATAGATAGGGGGTTAAGATGTGGAAGAGGGGGGCGGCATAAAAAGGTAAAATAGTGGTTAATCTTGAGATGGCCGGATGTTATATATAGTTCCGTGGTAAACCTTTTATCAGATTTTATAAGAATTGCAATCCACAAAACCAAACCATGGTTTTAAAAATAATATCTTTTACCAAAAATTAAAAAAAAAGTTTAACCTTTGGTAAAACTTAATTGTATTTTTTGTATTAATTGTATTTATAACCCAAAAGTTAATTTAAAGAAAGACGAATTAAGCATAACAAAGAAAAAGATTTAATGCAAAATTATCTAATTTTACGCTATTTAAAAACCTTCATTAGGATCGCGCGTGGTTCTACAAAATCGACCATTTTCGCCGTTTTGATAATTTTTTTTGGATAATATCTAAGTAACTGACAAATAACTAAATTACAGTAAATACAGAGTGTCCCAAAAAGCAGTTGTTGCATCGACTGCAGATGAAATTTTTCTTCTTCAATATTTACAATCAAGGTGTTCTTAGAAGATTTGTATATTTCGATCATTTCGACTTGTATTTCTTGTCCAGTCTGAATACTTTTTGGTTGAAATCACTTCTTTGAGTCGAAAATCAAATTCCCGGATTTTGAAAATTCTAGATTTTTTGCATTCTTTTTTCTTTGTTTACAAAGTAAGAAAAAAATTACAAATTATCATAATTATTTTCTTAACTTCATTTGCTAGTCTGAGGTTCCTTTTTCAATGCTACCTCGATTGTAAAAAGGAATTGAGTCTTTGCCACATCACGAAATTTTCTTATCAGCTGTATCTTTGTATTTTGATTATTTAATCAAACAAAATTCATAGTTTGAAATATTTAAGGTCTATGACATCGGGTTGCAAAGTTAAAGAGATTAGAAAACTCAATTTATTTAAGAGTCATCTCACTCAACCTAGAATTTTAAACCAAGCTAAGTTAACATTCCCTTGGTTCTACCAAGTTCCCCAATAAAAAATTTGAGATAAATCAGTCCAGGGGTTCATGAGTATAATCGGGCAAGCAGGGATACTAGAGATATATAGATTAAAGAATGAATGAGTTTAACAAACAAACACTTGCTTAGAACTTGAATACATTTTATGCAAGGTGCACTTACAGTTAATGGTTGCACATGGTACAGATAATGGGTACACATGGTACAGTTAATGGGTACACATGGTACAGATAATGGGTACACATGGTACAGATAATGGGTACACATGGTACAGATAATGGGTAAACATGATACAGATAATGGGTGCACATGGTACACATGGTACAGATAATGGGTACACATGGTACAGATAATGGGCACACATGGTACAGATAATGGGTACACATGGTACAGATAATGGGTACACATGGTACAGATAATGGGTACACATGGTATAGATAATGGGTGCACATGGTACAGTTAATGGGTACACATGGTACAGATAATGGGTACACATGGTACAGATAATGGGTACACATGATACAGATAAAATACGGATAAATTCTAACTAAGTAAAAGGTTTGCACAAAACTCTAAGATTAATTGTCAATTAAACAATTAGAAAACCTTAGATATTATATATATATATATCTGCTAATTGTAATACATGCTTGAAAGCTGATATTTTTTATTGCTTAAAATGTCTATGCAAAAGCTTGAAGAACTTTAGAATCCATACGAGAAATAAAATATAAATTGGATAGAACGGCACTTAGAAATGTAGATTGTGTGCTGGTCTATCTATCCATCTGTCTACCTGTCTACCTGTCTATCTGTCTATCTGTCTATCTGTGCCTAAAATATCTGGTACATAGACTCATGTTCTACAGATGGTTGACCACTTTTCAGTAATTCGAACATGACCTTTACTCAAAACCCTTAAAGACCCCTAAAGCTGGTGGGTGGCGGGGATGCATAGTTGTAGGAGTTGTATTGTAGGAGTTGTATTGTAGGGTCAAATAGAAAAGGGGGCGAATCTTTTGCCACCAATCATCTTGACTTTTTAACATTTGAAAAAATGCTCACCTTTTATAATGTCTTCTTTCCATCTGTTTATCTTTCTATCTGTCTATCTGTATATCTGTCTATCCGTATATCTGTCTATCTGTATGTCTGTCTATCTGTATATCTGTCTGTCTGTCTATCTGTCTATCTGTCTATCTGTCTATCTGTCTATATGTCTATCTGTCTATCTGTCTATCTGTCTATCTGTCTATATGTCTATCTGTCTATCTGTCTATCTGTCTATCTGTCTATCTGTCTATCTGTCTATCTGTCTATCTGTCTATCTGTCTATCTGTCTATCTGTGTCTAAAAATATCTGGTACAGACTCATGTTCTACAGACCGTTGACCACTCTTCATTAATTCGAACATGACCTTTACTCAAAACCCTTAAAGGTTTGTCGTGGGGAGTAGGGAAGTCTCCAGGATCGGCTTAAAGGGGGTGTTAGAACCCCTCTAAAGTTTAAGATAGGTTACCCTCCCTCCCTTTATTACCTTCTTCATACGTGCTTCCCTTTATTCAGACAAACCACTTTTTTTACTTCTAACTGAAGGCGCCTTGTATTGGGGGAGAGGGGACAATTGCATATTTGTTTTTAGAGAAAAGATAAACTATCTACATTGTACAATTCATCTAAACGTTATCAAAATTTATTGTGCACTGAATAGAATAAATTAATTTCTTTTTGTAAAAATAAATATTCCAACCCGATTCTATTTATCAAGATTTCGCGGATTTCTTTTTCTGAGTATAACTTAAGAACAGTACTAGATATTCGATATTATTAAATCGAGTCATTTTTGTCATCTTTGAAAATGCAAGTTTAGTTTAACTTAAGTTATCTCTTTTTAAGAAAGTTCCAGTTATTTTATTATCTCGGCAAACTATAAATACTATTAAAAGGTTAGACCTCTAACTTTTGTGGTTAGGGTGCAACTGCAAGGGAGGGTTTAAAAAAATCAAAATGTACTTCTGAAAAATGTATAGAATAATTATTTTTAACTATGATGTTAAACCGTTAAGAAGTATAAGGGTTCTAATGTAAGCTGTTTTTAAGTTATTTAGGAGAGAGGGTTAACTGCGTGATAGGGTTAATGACGCACATTTCCCGTATAATATATATTTACAAAGTTTAAGAGGAAGGGGTAGAAATCACCCTCCCCCCCCTCTCCCCTTCCAACCGTGATAGGGTTAATGACGCACATTTCACGTATAATATATTTACAAAGTTTAAGAGGAAGGGGTAGAAATCACCCTCCCCCCCCCCCCCCTCCCCTCCCAACCGTGATAGGGTTAATGACGCACATTTAACGTATAATATATATTTACAAAGTTTAACCTTTGATCTTTTTTCAATATTTTGGACAAA